ATATATATATATATATATATATATATATATATATATATATATATACACAGAGTGAGTCAAAAGTATGTTTACAAAGTTTATGTGAGTGTACTGGCAGAATGCATGCCAGATGATTCGAGGAAACCCTGTTGTGTACGAATGAATCCGTCAACCTTGTGTACATCGTGCTCGGGCATGTGTGGAGAATGGAGGAGCAACCTTTGGGCATCTGTTACAAAGAAACATCAGTGTCCTTATCCTTGGCAATAAAGGCATAGATTGAGACTTATTTTTGGCTATTATTTTGAAAAATAAGCATTTGCGGCCACATGTTTATAAAAACATTTTTTCCTGTTTTTGATCCATTAATACACACATACACATAGTTTGTAAACATACTTTTGGCTGATCCTGTATATGATTGTTTTTTCACTAAATTGTTTGATATTTAATTGTGTTGTATTTTTAATTTTAAATATATTGTTATATATAAGACTCATCTTCACTCTTTTAATGCCACGTACTCAGAAAGAAGTACATGATTCATAATTCTCTTGATAAGTAATCAGCTTTTTGGCCTTTATATACATATATATATATATATATGTGTGTGTGTGTGTGTGTGTGTGTGTGTATATTAACAAAAAGTTAGTAGATTTTTAATGTTTGAAGAAGGAAAAGGAAATAAGGATCTTACCTCGCAATTCTTCTTTGTTTCCTTTCACTTGTGTTCTGTTATTATTCGTTTATTTCTCAGACAAATCCTCATTTGAAGTGATAAAGGGCCATTATCAACCACCCATACCTGCTGTACATGGAGTGTATGTATTGTAGCAATTATCAAGCCTATTATTCCATCATCTTGTCTGCAGTCTTATACAGTGTGTCTCCTCCCTTCAAATCCCGGCAAAGATGTTTTCTGTAGTTCGGATAGCAAGCACTAGGGAAGAATGGCGCTAAAGGCAAATTCTGTTGCTGGATAAGGATCTGATTAACAAACCCGAAAATTGCCCTGAATTCCAGGAGATAGTTTTGCAAGAAACTGTCGTATTTCCCATTAGTAAATACTGTACACTCTGTTCGTCATATGTAAACTCGATAATTGCTTGTTGACGTGTTTGTTTGCTCGTTCAATCAAGCCTCGTGAACGAAAAACCTTGCGTGGTTTTCCCATAAGACCCGTAGCAGAACACGCCATATTTCACTGCCGTAAGTGAGTGTTGATTTTGAGGTAATATTGTATAAATACAAACTAGCAATGGCTGGGAGTTCATCGTGCTAACCACACGTCACCTATATCTGGTTGGATGATCGTTCACCTCTGCTTAGGCATGTGAACATGAGGCCAGCAGACAAGCTAGTCGGCTTTGGCTCTCGGAGGGCTGTTACGCCATGGATCATTATTATATAAATGCAATTTCGTATCAACTGTCATTTGTTTACCAAAATGTCTTCTAATAATACCATTCATCTTATTATGTTTCTGTAATTTGATATCTGTATCATTTTTGTGGTCTGAGAAGTATTTACCACGTATGTAAAATCAGAAACTTGCTGTTATTTTCCCATCTATTTATATTTTAACTTGCATATTTCCATTGTTTTAGATTTTAAAGTGAAAATTTTCATGTCATATTTGTGCACAATTTTTTTAGCTGGTATGCTGCAAATTGCAGTTTTACTTCAGATATTGTTATTAATTCTTGATCATCTGCATACATTGTTGTCTTAATTACTTTATTCCTTGTTAACCCTCATTGATTGGATGCAGTAGAACATGTTCTTGTCTTAGCGGTCGACCAAGTGTCCCTGGAAGCTGGGAGACTAATCTGAGTGTAGTTTACTTTCATTAGCATCAATAATCAATATCATTTCTTAGACCAAGTTTGCTGATATTTTCATAATGGTTTACTAACTAACTAACTAACTAAC